ATAAAGAAACCGGCACACTTTCCATAATAATGGTCCGATTTTCAAAAGAAAAACATCACTCATTTTGTTTTAAAGAGTTCTTTAACTTGCTATTGGGAGTAACTGATTAAAATTGAAAGCAGTTTCAATGTTACATGCATAACTCAAACAGGAGGTTGGCGGGTGCTCTGGGGTGTGGTTTGCTCCTTTTCCCCTATTAACAATCAATCGTCCTACTCTGTCCTCGTTCTTTTCTGTGTATGTTACTCTCTTGTAACACCTCTAATCTTTGGGGCTTATATGACCTATCTGTGTTTCAAGTGCCGTTAAACCCAATCTAAAACTAAACTAAAAAAAAGCATAACACAGACTTGGAGAATATGAAAAAAATTCAACGAGTATGGTATAAAGCGGGAAATCACCATAGAATATGATCATTACTGAGGGTCATCAAATACCGATATATGCACCATGCAATGGCTCATACCCCGAAGAACAGCGACATCACTTCTATGATCAACTGAGTGACCTTTTAAACACAGTGGATGACAAAGATAATGTGACAATCATCTGGGACTTAAACGGCAGAGTGGAAACAAGGAAGACGGTGGGAGAGATACATGAGGCCACACAGTGACAGAGAAACAGATAAAAACAGCAATGGAGAAATGCTATTACAGTTTTGCGCAAAACATGACCTCGTCATATCAAATACTCTCTTCCAACACAAAAGGAGTCAAGTTAAAACTTGGTACAAATCAAATGGAATGACCTAAAGATAGCATCACAAATTGATTTTATTCGGGCCAAAAGATCGAAACTGAGAAAAATCAGAGACTCAAGAGTGATTCCCATCTATATCACAGACACTGACCACAGACCAGTCATCAAGACTATTGACACACCAAGCAGGGAAAGGCCAGAAGCAAAGAAACGACGCGAAGTCGTAAATCTCAGAAATATAAATGACAATACCAAAGATAAGATACACCTGAACGTTTGAAAGATGTATTTCACAAATTTCCCAAACAACCGGGAGACATTGAAGAAGAATGGAGCCACTTCAAAGCATGTGTGAACAGAGCATTAAAAGAAGAGTGCGGCACCAGGAAAACAAGAGAGTAGAAAAAGAAAACAACTACATGTATATGGTGGAATGACTATGAGAAGGAAGCCATACAGCTGAAGAAAAAAGCATTCAAAAAGTGGCAGAAATCAAAGACAGGAAGATTACATCCTATACAGAAAGGAACACCGCTAAACATCAAGGGTAGTTAAAGAAGCTAAGAACAGATCCTGGACAGTATACAGAGAACAGCTGGTGACAAAACGTAAAGAAGAACCTTGAGAGTTTTAGTTTTACAAGAGAGTTAAAAAAGCATGAGGATGCGGGAAGAACCATTCAACCCAACTGAAATAGTCAATGATGAGAACGGAAAACCTATTTTCAGACAGCCAAAGATTAAGGAAAGATGGAAACGCTATTTCCAAGAGCTGCTGAATCCTACAGCAGAAACAACAGCAAACAGCTTCTCATCGACAGAAACCACTCCAGAACCTTCACTACTGCTGAGTGAAACCCAACATGTTTTAAAGAATAGCCCCACAAACAAAGCGATTGGCGTTAAAAACATCACAGCAGAAGAGATCAAACTATACGGCCACATCGGAGAACTCGGGTTATGGAAGATATTTCACCTGGCCTGGACGACAAAAACAACACAGAGCCTACAGAGGAATATCCCTTCTCAGCCATGTGGATAAAACGTTTGCCAAGATACTGAAAATGAGAATGAGACCAATTGTAGAGACTCAACTCAATGAATCCTAGTTTGGCTTCAGAAAAGGCAGGGGCTGTACTGACGCTTTTTTGCATTCGGACAGTTCTGTGAGACTGACTAACATTGGACATGACAAGACCTCAATATCGTCTTCGTGGACCACTAAAAGGCATTCGACAGGGTACATAGATGTCAACTTTGGGAAGTCTTAGAGGTTTTAGTAGAGGTTTTACTGCACTGGCAACTGCATAAGGTCAAATGAGCACCAAGGGGTGGGTGTCAACAGAGAAGTCCTTACGTGGACTTCTCTGCTCACCTCTCTAGCTTCAACAGCACAAAGTCTGCTTCGACTGTCAAGGCACACCGGATACAGCGGGTCACAAGAGCGTGACAAACATACAAAAGAAGTAGAGGAAAATGACAATAGTAAGCATTGGGAAAGAAAAAGCCGCAGTTCCCTGTTGTAGTTCAGGCACAGTTATGAGCATGGCATTGTTCGATCAGCCCTTTTACAATTCTACTGGGCATTAGAACGAGAAATGTCGCCTCTTTGGAGATGGCCTAAAGATACTTCAGTCAGTGGCACCGCCCCGGCGGGTAGTCTTAGAGGAATATGGTGTAAAAGGACAATTGCTGGAGAACATCATGGCACTTTATAAAAACAGCCTGTGTGCCGTAAGGTCAACAGAAGGACTATCGGACTGGTTCCCCATCAGGTCTGGGGTGAGACAAGGGTGTGTTCTCTCTCCGCTTCTCTTCATCACTTAAATGGATAAGATCACGAAAGAGGCAAATTACAACATCAATGAACTGAATGAGCTTCTATTTGCTGATGACCAGAGTACATTAAACACAGATGAAGAGGAATTACAAAAAACACCACAAAATTAATTAATGAGGAATGTAAACACCTAAACATGAAAATCTCTATTTCAAAAACAGAAGTTCTGAAGGCTAGAATAAAAACAGGGAGACGGAACACAACTCCAACAAGTAGAGGAATTTAAATATTTGGGAAGCATCTTCACACTAGATGGGCGTATGGACAAAGAAAAAAAAACAAGAACTATGAAGGCAAATGCAGTGACCTACCAGCTGGCACCCCTTCTCAGTCACAAGAACAGCTCAACTGAAGTAAAATCCTAGCTCATCAATAGAATCTTCATACCAACATTAACATGCCAGTGCCAAACACGGTCTCTAAACAAGGCATGAGAAAGAAAAATCGATGCACGCGAAATTAGGTGTCTCCGCAAAACCCCCAACGTCACCAGAGGAGACCGCATAAGGAACGAGACCATACGTCTACTAGTCGTAAATTTATTAGAGCGTCAAAGAGTCAAAAGGTTCGGACATCTAACCTGAATGCCCCAAAACAACTAGCAGCTAAAGCTTACAACACCCGCGAATCTGGCTTTAAATCAAGAGGAAGACCAAGAAAGACCTGACTGGATGGGGTTAAAAAGGTCCTGGAACAATATAACTAATTAACATTCTATCACAAACGCCGAAACCTGCACCTCCCCTCGACATCTTAAGGATACCAGAGGAAGGAAAAGGTAAAGTAAAGTAAGAACTGAGGAGCAAAAGTGCTCACTTTGTTACAACTGGCATCTTTCTTCAAGGTTGTTTCGTCAATGGAAAAGAGTAATTAGGCTTACACTGCTAATTTACCGTGAGTCGTGGAAAGATGACGGCACACACACGAACACACACACACACACATACACACACAATACATACATACACACACACACCGAGAGAGAGAGAGAGAGAGAGAGAGAGAGAGAGAGAGAGAGTACATAGCATTTTTCGTTCTTGTTCATGCGACAGAAAAGAAAGAAAATGTGTATCGGTACTAGTTACAATAGACCTAAGAAACTTTATCAAAGAGCAAATAATTGCATCAGATACTTTAATAGTCAATTTAATTTTGACTGCCTGTGCTAACAACACGAGTCCGGACTCTCATACTACTAGATCTAGGCCCTACACAATCCGCAATGAAGAAAGGCTTTCGGCAGGGTAAAAAAGGAGGGGGGGGGAGCTCAGTGAAAAGGAAATACTTTGGTCTAAAAAGTCTCATTTTCTTAATACCATCGAATGAACTAAGGCACAGTGTAAGGTCAGTTATTATAAAACATCATAAAAATTGATTAACTTTTTAAACTGAAGTTTAAAAATCTCTCAGCGATGCATTTCCTTGTCTTGTACATTTCAAACAATGAGGAGAGGGAGCCAAAAGCTCAAGGCGAAAATGCGTGACGTCACGACTCTGCGCAATGTCACGGTGGAAGGGTTCAGCTAGGTTTTCGCGGATTTGGTTGATAAAAGGGTAAGACTACACTAGCCAAGGTAAGACTTCTACGATAACCATTTAAACGTTTTCTGGAAGAACAAAGAATGGTTTACCAACAAGGGTAGATCTAGAATCTAGTTTGAAAAAAATATGACAGTAAAATTTATCAAAAATCAATGGTTAAAAATTGTCTGTTTTTCAACTTTAAATATCTCAAGACTCATTAGTCGCACATCGACCTGGAAAAACCCGTTTTGAAGGTCATCCAAAGGTCTTTGAAGACATGTATCGGACTTGAATGACAGTCCCCTAAATTTAAAAAAAATATGTGCAGTTTGAACCCACTGTCTCAACGAGACGTCATGTCCGGAAACAAAACTCAATGGGACTTTCTGAAGCCAAATCACGCTATCTATAGTGAGCGCGTTCAGTGAAGAAAGTGGCTATTCTCACCCGCCCGGAAGTTCTCGCAAGATCTACTCCTCCCCTCTTCTCTCTCTCTCTGTCTCTTTCTGAATACTGTCTATCGGTGTGGACGATCAAATTGACCAAAACAAAGTTAAAAAATGATGTTAAAACACAAAAGTAAATTAATTTGGTTGTCTACAAAGATGCTACGGCTATTTAACTTTTCGAATCGAGCCGAACTACGCGGGTCGCCATTTTGTTTTGTTCTCTCTCTCACTCACTCTCTCTCTCTCCCCTGCCCACAGACAAAATTGTACGCTTTTAGTAGGCTACAAGTACAGTTGTAATGGAACGTTTGTTCACAGCACAGAATTCTACAATTTTTCTCTTATCACAGTGTAGAATTCTGTGGTTTAGGGTGAACGCAAAATTTGTTGACACGCGCACCGGGTGAGAATAGCCTTCACAAGACCCGCCTGCACTATTCTCAGAGGTGGCCTGCCTTCAGTGAAAGTGCCTACTATTATATTCACCTGCTTCAAAGTCAACTGAGACATTATTCACATTGATTATTGTGTCGTCCAGAATCTCAGAGGCAACAGTAAGCCCATTACCGAACCAAAATGAAAGGCCAAGAGATCAAATTGTTGGTGAATTCACACAATACGTTACGAAACGCAAGTTCCTGAGCTCGTTCAGTGTTTAGTGCTCTGACTGAGTGCTCAAGTTCAAGCGTAAAGCAAATGGTAGACCTGCGTTATTCAACAGCAACAGCAGTTAAAAATTAACATTCTCAACTTCGGACTTGGAAATCGACTGAAAGCCAAGCCTATAATAATAATAATAATAATACAAACTATATTACCAGAGAGTTTGATATTACCTAGCCGTAACGGCGAACACAAAATTATCATTGTAATATTTAGGCCTCTGCTCTTTTGTGCCCCCCCCCAACCTCTCTTTTGGAAGTGAGGATGGCTTCCTCAATATTGTCTTGCTTGCCAGATATCTGATGTCCATTGGGTTTCTCCATGGACCATACGTAATGGTGGCTACTTTTCTTTTTATTAGGGCCTACTTGTATTATTTTATAGGTTTCTTAGTAACTTCCCTCAGGCTCGTGTGTACCCCTCACATCCCTCCACAAAATAGCTACTACCTCAGCTTATATATGAGTCTTAGAACAAAGTAACCTGTTACAATGCAAATATGCCATATCTTATTCATTTGTGAATAAGGGGGTATATATAAAGAGGGGGTGGGGTGGGGGAGTGAGAGAAAAAGGGGGTGGGTGGGGGAGAAGGAGAGAGTAAGTAAGTTTATAGTTTGGTAAAAAATTAGTGGAGTAACTTATCCTCAAATATATTTTTCAATGGGTGGATCAATGCCATCCATGGGCCTATATATTTGCACAGCAGTTAGTTTCAATAATTATTTGTCTTAATATTTTTCACTGGATTAAAAGACTTTTAATCATAAATTTATTCAAAACACTATAAATCTCCGTCATGCACAAAATGGGATTGTTCACAGCTCTTCCCGCTTCTAACACACAATTTGCATACGCATCTCATGGCCTACGTCACAACTCACAACTCACCAATGACACTTATTTTATTAGCAAAACTCGTTACAAGAAATTGATTTTTTTATAGTAAACATTATTCCGCACTAAAGGTTATCAAGTCAAAACATGTGTTCAATAAAGATAGCGTCACGGTTTAGACCCAGAAAAATGACGAACACTCCCTTGGGTTTTTTATTAGTAGTAAGGATTTTTTTAGAATACAGCTATAGCTGGTGTTTACAAAAAATATTGGTCTGTTAAGACAAATTTGTACACGTCTCTGTTCAAAAGCTGGAGAATCTGTGTTTGATAGTTTAGAAAATATTTGGCAAAAAGTTGCGCTACGAAATTTTGATCGAGCTACAGTTAGTTTATTCAGTGCTTTAGGCCATTGGCCCCACGTCACATCAAATAAAACAATTTGTTAAATAAAATTTCCACAATGAAAAAATACAGACGGCACATTATCTCTTATTATGCTTCAAACACTGCATATTTCTGTCACTAGGCCGGGTCAAGGTGGGAGGAATTAATTCCTTTTGATGGGCAAAATTCGAACAAAGGTTAAGTGAAATTCATCTTCATTTGAGAAGGAGAGAGAAGGGGCAGAGGGAGGGAGAGAGAGAGGGAGAGAGGGAAAGAGAGAGAGAGAGAGAGAGAGAGAGAGAGAGAGAGAAGAGAGAGAGTGAGAGAGTGAGAGAGTGAGAGAGAGACAGACAGACAGACAGACAGACAGACAGACAGACAGACAGACAGACAGACAGACTGTTTGCAATTATCAATTTAGTGCTAGGAATAAATGAAACAGGAAGGCAGAAATTATAACAGATAAAAATGTAAAGAAGTAGGACCTACCAGTGACGACCTCAACCACCCCCTGAGAGAGAAAGATAGAGAGAAAGCCAGAGAAGGAAAGAAAGAGAGAGAGAGGGGGGAGGGAGAGAGAGAGAGAGAGAGAGAGAGAGAGAGAGAGAGAGAGGGGAGGGAGAGGAAGGGGTGGAGTGTAGTGAGAGGAAGAGGGGTATTGAGAGGAAACGGAGGAAGGGGGGAATGAGATATATATATATATATAGATAGATAGAGAGAGAGAGAGAGAGAGAGAGAGAGAGAGAGAGAGAGAGAGAGACAGACAGACAGACAGACAGACAGACAGACAGACAGACAGACAGACAGACAGACAGACAGACAGACAGACAGACAGACAGACAGACAGACAGACAGACAGACAGACAGACAGACAGACAGACAGACAGACAGACGGAGTGAGAGAGAGAAATGCGTGATCAACGCTCGAAGGCTATAATTATAGAATGAACGGAAACAGGAAGAGAAAAAAAAACCCCACCTTAATTGACGCTCTCCAACCACCTGCAGAAAATCTTGTATCTCAAAGGCAATAAAAGTACTAAATTCCAAATTGTTTTTGCTTTTCATTCTTCTTTATTTTAAGAAAAACAGTTGAAAGTATTTGAATGCACGGCATCAGGCATCGTGGTATCAATAAAAAGTTAGAAAACAGTCACATATGGCATAGGCCTACAGGCTAAAATCTCCAGAGCATCGCGAAAGTCCATAATGGTCACATAATCCTTTTCCCCATTTTATGAACTTGATGCCCAGCTGAATTCAAAAAGGTGGATTCTGACGTGGGTTTCACTTAATCAGCGACTGCTCTCGAAGAAACTGACATGCAAAATAAATAAGAGTAGGCCTATGAAAAAAGAACAGAAACCACATGGTTATCTTTTTTTAAAAGTCCATTTACTTAAATCAACTCCTCAAGTTTAATCTAGGCTAACGCAATAATAATACTCTTTCCAAACAATCCTGAAGGGGAAAAAACCAATACACATGCATATCAAAGTAGACATGAGTTCAAATAATATAATATCAATGGCCCAGAAGCATGTTATTCCAACGTGATTTTCTTAGGGCATTTGATATATCTCTTTTGCTGCGTCGATTTACCAGCACTGTCATGGTCACATTGTGAACAATAGGCCTAGCCTTTATGATTATATAGCCTATAGGTATTTGTACTATTATCAGACTGATGAGCGTTTCAGATCACAGGAATCCGTATTGCGAAAGTGCTTTCCATTTTAAAGGTTAGAATCTAGAGTCTTGCAAAAGTTGATGCAAAGGTTGAACTTTGACGCTTTTACGACGTTTCGTCATCTCCAGCCAAAAATCCACACATGCAATAAATTGGACAAAAATCCTGGACAGCACACAGAGCGCAAATTTCCTCAAAGACTGGTGCTTTGATGCTACTTTGGCATGACATGGGATATGGCAGAGGGAGAGCTTGCATTCCTGAGTCAGATGTCGGCAAGGCATCTTGAGTCTCATCTGACCCATCCATGTATTCACAAAAGCAGTAAATCGGACAGAAATCACTTCCAGCGCACAGTGCACAAATTTCCTTGTATACTGGTTTGTTGGTGTTGCTTTGACAAGACAAAGGGAAAGGCAAAGGGAGAGCTTGCCATTGTTCGTCAGGTTTTTGAATAGACGTCTGCAAGCCATGTCGCATCTCATCTGATTCAATCATATTATTGTTCGTAATGCAATTGCAATAGATCGGACAAGCATTATAGTTACCAGCACACATCACACAGATAAGCCTGCAGATATCTGCGAGGAATGGATTATAGACGATTTGATATGACCACGGAGGGGGCACAGCGCGTTTATCCACTCCTCTATCAGACCAGCCAGAAGCCGCCGGTAAAGACACCACGGAACTTAAGGTCAACGCCAAGCAGGACAAGGTCATCAGCTGAGTTACACCCATTTTCTGGAGCATTCTGGCGAAAAAATGAAAGAAAATAAACTATACCGTAATAATAAATATTGTGTTTTTCAATGAATGTTTATTCTGGGATTTTTTAATTATTTCTTTTTAATATTAAAATTTTTTTGAACATGAGCACCGAAACGAGTTCGCAAACTAAATCCAGTGCTTTTCTGCCGCTGTCAACTCACAAAACGTGTACAACAAACAAAATAGGGTGCCTATAGATGCTATCAATTATCTTCATCAGCGTTTACTCCATTCCTCCCCTTTTCGTGTCTTCTGCACAAACGCAGCACACACCCCTAGGAAGGAGTTCCGCAGAGGGCCGGCCGACCAACAAGGCACAAAAGGGGGATATTTTCAGAGGGGTATACCCTAACTCTAACCCTAACCCTCAACCCTAACCCTAACCCTCAACCCTCAACCCTAACCCTAATCCTAACCCTAATCCTAACCCTAACCCTAACCCTAACCCTCAACCCTAATCCTAACCCTAACCCTAAACCCTCAACCCAAACCTCAACCCTCAACCCCAACCCCAACCCCAACCTCAACCCCAACCCCAACCCTAACCCTTGTATAGTTTGCTCAGTGGACCATGTCACGGTAAGTGCCAGCCCTCAGCGGAACTCCTCCCCACCCTTTTACCGGATTTTAGATCTTCCAAGAGTGCCTCTTTTAAGTTAAAACATTTTTTAAAAGGAAGAACTTCCTCGCATATAATGTACATATGTAAAGCAAGACCCACGAAAGAGCCAGGGGTGTTTTAATGAGAGTTATTACCAGAGATGTCCACCTTTTTGTATTCGGCTGGGTATCAATAAATGATTAAAAGATATATTTTTTACGAAGGGGGTGGGGGTGGTGAGAAGGGGTTTTAAAACTTATGTGACGCTTTGTGTTTCCATTAACTCAGATCATTCAGGGAGCAAACTTCGACCTGACCCATCAGGATCTGTCGATGTTTTTTTGTTTGTTTGTTGTT